ATATTTTGTAAACTATGTCTAGAAATTGTTGATGCAACAGCTGAAGGATCAGAATGTTGTTTAGAAGGATCAGATACCGAATATGCCGGAGTAGCGTCGGTCGATGCAAGTTCATATGATGGAAGATCATCAATTACGGCGCTTTTTTCAACTATACTAGAAGTGCTATTTTTCAATTCCTCCTCTTTATCTTTTGCACCATTCTCAGTAGAAAATTCTACTGGGATGGAAACATCCTGAGCAGGCTGTTGCGAATTCTCTTGATCAGACATTAGAATGATTTAACAAAAATTCAATAAATCCGCAAAAGACGGATTTTTTAAGTTTTTGAGGGGTTGCTAGAATTTATACGTAATTGTGTTCATTGTTGGGCTGAGTTTTCTCTCGTTTGTATTCTACATGTGCATCTTCTATTAATAGGCATTTTAGTACAAAAAGAGGAGAAACTTTGGTACAATCATTATTTTAATATAAATATATATAAATAAAAAAAAGAATATTTATTTATTATATATATATTTATTAATTAGCGTTTAATGACTATCTATTATTAGTTTAATAATTAGTGATCCCAAACATTAAACCATATTAGGCGCCGTTCAATCAAAATCGTTCTACGTAGCAATGTACTTGGTTAATTATGCTCCATTATAGCCGTTATAGCTAAATGATGAATTTATTAGTATACCGATACCTATTATATAACGATAAAAGTTTAATATTAATTATAGAATCACGTCAACTATATTATACAGGTAATGATCATTGAAAAGATAACGATAATAATTCTTGTTTTTAAAGTTAGCATTAGGGTAGGTCTTGCATCTATCTTTTATTAAGAAACGGAAACATGTTAAACACAAAGTTTTTTTGTAACACATCGTGACTTCGAACATATGTACTGTAGTTGTTTAGAATTTGCTACGTAACATGCCAAATCCTTAGCTGAATACCCAACCGGTTGGTAACTAATCACCTACCGCAATGCACTGACTAAAAGACCCGGGTCTAATCAATCGGCGGATCTTTAAAGAACCCTGAAATTATGGGGTATTTGTGCCGGTAATACAAACTCCTAAAAAAGAAATAGCATAAACAAAATTGATCCTATTAATAAATTCGAAGGTTTTTTAAAACTTCTAGCGATGATCTCTCAATAACTATTTGATCAAATTCAGTAAAATTTTTTTATTTTAATTTCAGTAATTCTGTGGAAACAAAAGAAAACAATGTTTATTGAATTTTGATTTAGTAGTTGATTGTCAAAAGTTTTGAAAACACAAAATTTAAAAAAAAAAATCAAAATCAGATAAATTTTTTTTTTTTGAACTTTAAACAAAAATTTTTTAAAACCAACTATTTGAATTTGATAAAAATTTTTAATTTTAATTTTATAATCATAAAAAATTAAAAAATATTAATCTAACTTGAATAGTTGATCATCAAAAAATATTTATTAAAAAAAATATTTATTAAAATTTAAAAAAATTTAATTATAATTTTTTGAGAATTTTATTTGTATAA